TCTGTCGTTGAACCTGTCTGGCTGTTCCTCCCATGTGAACGTAGACTGGGTCAATGATCCCTTCCTGTATGCGGTCAGGCTCCGTGCAGCATGTGTTAAAGAGCACTTACTCTGCCAGGCCCTGTGCCAGGCTCTGAGGATTTAATAGTGAGCAAAGACAGTTGGGATCCCTGTTGGGGGGTTTACAGCCTAGTCGAGAGAAAGATGTTTGTCAGATAATCACCCATGTCATAATTTTTCTCAAGGAAGGTGCTATATCGCAGTGCTATGTCAGAGCCTATGAGAGGAAGCTGACCTAGAAGTGGGGAGGGGGAGTGAGGACACTGGGCGCTGAAGGAAGTCTGGGAGTTAACTAGGCAAAAGGGAGAGAGAATCTTCCAGAAGGAGGGAGTAGAATGGCGTGCTGAAGGGATTGAAAGGCTGCAGTGGCTGAAGCACAAAGCAACGGGGAGTGAGGACAAGTGGAGGCTGAAGAGCAGGCAGGGCCAGACCTCCTAGACTCTTCCCGTCTCTTCACCTTTATCCCGAGAATAATGGAAACTTTCACTCCGGATGTGTTCAGGAATTGAACTGGAAAGCCCTTTAAATAAGGAGTTCCAGACCTTGAATGGGGAAAAAATATTATGTTATTTGCTTTTACTAACCCTTAAATCAAATTGAGCCTTTTCAATTATAAGTATGGACAACAAACTGCAATAGTATGAGGTCTCATCTGGGACTTTGTCATGCGTACAAACCCAGTATGTCATCACATTACAGTTGTTGTCAATCAAAATACTAACTCTCACTACTTGGGAATTACAGTGATTGTAGGCCTGTCACCAGATCTTGGTTTTCATAGCTTGAAGGGCACATTGATTAGTATATCATAGATTTGTCTTTTAAAATGTTGGTAACTTGTTCAATATAATTGGTTTCATTTGTAATCCTACGTATTTTATTTTATGTGTTTAAAAGCATTATTCTTAGATTCCTAGATGCACAAAAAAGGTGAATAACATCTGATTTGAAATAAATGATCAAATAATAGTATGGCAGATTAGATAACCTGAGTAAATCTCCCAATGAGAGCAAATGAAATGCTGCATATGATATTAAAATATCTTTTTAGATGCATCTCTTAGGTGATACAAAAGTAAAGAATCTGCACAAACCCAAAATGAAGGGAAAGCCGACTGTTGCCGGAAGGCATCTGTAGAATCCATCCAGCTTGAGCTTCTCTGAAGGCTGCCCAGGGCTTTGGACAGGAGATAAAGCCCAGGGCAGACTGCCCTGCACCACACGGAGGGGCCAGTGACAAGCAAACCCATCACACTGAAGTGGGCAGAAAGGACGCTTTCTTTCAAAGAGTTGGGTAGTAGCAGATGGGTGGCTGGGGAGATGGCACCCATGAGAGTAGGAACCACAAGGTGTCCCTGTGTGATCTGTAAGTCCCCCAGTGGAGAATTTAACCTCCAGTGGTTCCAGCTTGGTAACTCTCCCTCCCGCTCCTCCATCCGAGACCAGCAGCAAAAGGAAATGCAAATGCCACCTGGAAGAATTCAACTTAACTCAATCTTCAATAGATCTTAACAACGCAAAGTTCCAAAGAAAATGCGCAGGTAACAGTCAGAAATTACATGAAATCAAGGAGACAAGACACCATGAGTGAGAAACAATGGATGGCAGCCAGAAATAGATCTGCAAAGACATCCTCACACACTGGAAATAACAAATATAAAAGAAGTTTAGTACATTTAAAGAAACAAAGGAAAAACGAAAATCTGAGCAGATAACATGAGACTTAACTAAGCATATTTGAAAAAGAGAAAATATGAATGAAATTTCTACTTTTGAATAAAGTTCCAGAAGGAAATAATAGAATGGAGAATAAGCAACATTCAAAGAAGTAATGGTGAGAATTCTCCAAATTAGTGAAAAACACTGACCCTCAAATTGAGAAGCCCAACCAACCCCCAGCAGTATAAATATATATTGATGTGGATGTGGGTAGGGATAACAAAGATGAGTAGTTTATAAGAGACAGTTGCAGAGGACAATATCATCCACAGAGGAATGACCGAAGAATGATGAAATTCTTAACATCGACGGTGGAATCCATAAGACCAGATGACAGTATCTTCAAAGTGCTGATTAAATAACTCAACCGAAAATTCTGTACCAAGTAAAACAAGGGAAAGTGCCAAACTTGAGAGTTTACCACCAAGTGACCCTCACTAAGTGTATTCTGAAGGAGGAGATTCAAACCAAAGGAAAATGACCTCTGACGCATGGTCTGACTTGCAGGAGAAATAGTGAGCCGGGATAAATATGTGACAATCTAAGCAAACCAATGACTGTATATGCAACGAAGATCATCTGTGGGGAAAACAGAGCATGCTAGATTTAAGATGCCAAGTTACGATAACTTATAAATTGGGAGAAGAGATTAGAGAATGAAGTACTGCGAGGTCCCTGTATTGTCCAGGAGAAGCTGTGGCTATTGATTACAGGTAACTGTTGTTAAATATGTATTAAATGGGGCAAACACTAATAAAATAGGCCCAGTGTGCAACTGCAAAGGAAGGAAAGGGAAAAGAACCAATAAGCAAAGGAAAACAAAATGGCCCAAGAGGAGGAGAAGGGGACAGTGAAATGGGACAACTCAAAGGTTCAAAATGTAGTGTTAAAAGAAAACCTAATCACTAATCACGGTGAGCGTAAGTGGGCTAACTTCTCCCATTAAGGCCGTCACAGTTATACCAGATTTTAAAACAAGTTTCAGCTGTGTACTCTTCACAAGACACAGCTAAAGCCACATGAAGATAAAAGGGCAAACCATGGGAAAGAGAGCCCAGGCAAACAGTGACCAGAAGGAGGCAAGGATGGTCATTAATATCAGAGGAGAATTCAGGCAGAAAGCGTTACCAGAAATAAGAAAATTTGCTGCATAATGATAAATGATTCCATTCACTGGGAGGATGTGTCGATTCTAAAGTCGCATGTGCCGTGTGAATTTGCGTACAGACTCCCATAAAGCCAGACCGGCAGAATTAAAGGAACAGTTTGTCAAATCCATCATAATAGATTTTAACACACTTACCAGTAATCAGTAGATCAAATAGACCCCCGAAAAAGTAAGAAAATAGAAAATGTGAACAGTATAACTATGGAACTTGAGCCTAATGGACTTGACTGCGTCCAATGTCATTCCTTTCAAGCACGTGTGGAACACTTGCCGAGGCTGACACACTTGGCCATAAAGCTGGCCTCAGTACACTTCAAAGGATCGTGATCTGACAGACCACATTTTTTTTTTACCACAATGCAATTAAGTAAGAAAACAAAGTCAATAAGATAATTAGAAAAGTCCATTCACTTGGAAATTTAACAATACATAATCAACTCATGGGTCAAAGGAGAAATTATAATTGAAATTAGAAGATTTCATCATGCAACTTTTCACATCAAACTCATGGGATATGACACTTGGAAGGAAACAGTATTTAGTGTTTGCTTTTAAAAAAATAAGAAGCCTCAAAATGGAGCTGAGATCTAATATAAATCAAAGACCCACAGATGCAGAAGGATGGAAATTAAAAGGACAGAAATTCATGAAATAGAGAAACATACAAAAGAAGAGACCAGCATAGCAAAAACTGCATGTTTGAAAAGACAAGATTCACTTTTTTTAAAGGTACAAATAAAATGAATGAAAAAAAGAACATAACCACAGGTGCTAGAGAGAAAAACAGATAAGAGGATATTAAGAACAACCCGCAACATACTTCAAAACATTGAAATAATGGATGACTACACAGGAAGACAGAACTTAGCCAAACAGATGAAGGAGAAACGCAAAGTCAGAATAATCCTTGAGCTGTAAGAGAAGCGCAGTCAACAATCAAACATGTTACCACGAGGAAAACACCACCCCCACGGGGCTTTCTCTGAATGCAACTGAACATTCAGGAAACAGACAACTCCATTCTTACACAGAGAATGGGAAAGAAAACAGTCATCAACATGAATGCAAAACTTCTGAAAAATATCACCCAACTAGAAACAATGAGTAAAAAAATCATGATCAAGTTAGGTTTACTCCAGGCATTCAGTTGATTAATATTAGAATTTTCTTGATAGAATTCACCACATTAGTTAACAGATTAAAAAGGAAAAGTTCTATTATCTCAACAGAAAAAGAACATAGAATTCAACATCCATATATGACATTAAAAAAAATTCTTAGCATATTTTCGAAAGGAAAGAAATTTCCTTAACTTGATAACAGACATCTCCAAAAAAAATCCAGCAAACAGTCTATGGAGAAACATGGAAAGCACTCCCTTTAAGGTTAGGAATGAGGCTAAGATGTCCTCTCCGCCACCCTCCCCCCCGCCCCCCCCTCCGCATTTTTAACACAGCCCAGTAGCAGTCAAGCATCGCCAGGCTGAGACCCCCTCCTGTCAGTGCAGCTGGATCCTTCACCACCCCCCATCTGCTTCCCGTCCTCTTCCCCCCTCTCCCACCCCAACACCGCTCTTCTCTTTCATTGGTTCTCTCAGATGGGTTAAATATGATGTGAAGTATATTCTTAAATCTTTCTGGAATTCATTGGACAGGATTTAATTTTTTAAGATAAGTGAGGCTTGAAATCTACCAAACGTCATAGTTTTCTCTATTATCCTTCATTTTCTGGATGGCAATATTAGACAGGTCCAGCCCCACTTCTGGGCCTGGAACCCAGAAAGCCTAGTTCTGTAAACTTAAATAATTTTCAACTAAATTTTCTTGCTGGTTTTGTATCTTGCATCTAGTGTGGGCTGGATTTTAACCCACTGAAGACCCCTGGCTGAGGCCCAGGGTCTGCCTGGAGTGGTGGCAAGGATTGCCAGAAGGTCCCACGTGGGCTGAGAATGCAGAGGTGCCTCCCAGATGAGGCTTCAGCCTCAGACTTCAGGCTTCATCCAGGGAATGAAAACTGCCACCAGATTAATTTTCATCCTAGTGAACTCGGAGACTTTTCTTTTTAACAAAATGCTTTTATTTCTATTCTTAAATGAAATGCAGTGTAAGGCACTCGCATGAAATATCAAAAGGCATTTATCCTTTGTTTTAACTTCCTTTCTGGTCACAGAAAGCGGGTAGAAAAGAACTGCTGAAATAAAGCGCAGCAGAAACCAAACGGGGCATGGCCGCAAAGAGGCTCGCCCGGCCTCTGGGCCCTGGGCCGGGCGGCCAGGCAGCTAATAGTCGTCGTAGTTGACGCTGGCCCCGTGCCTGAAGCTGTCGGGGCTCCGGGGACCGATTGCAGCATCCTCATCATAGTGACGCTGGTGGTAATCGTCGTAGTCATGTCCATTCCGATCTCTGTTCAGCCAATAAGTGATGTCATCCTCAAATTTCTGAAGGAAAAGAGAAAACAAGAGAGACTGGACTTAAGGACAGCCCCCAGGCCACATTTTACCTCTGGCTTCTCTCTGGGGTGGTTCTTCAATGATTAACCACCCCGACACTAAGAATAACTCCGTGTTAGGGTACTCCTGCGCTCAGGGGTCACACAGCCAGCTAACGAATACCGATATAATGATTTTCCCCACAGGAGTACACACGCATACCCATGAAAACTTCTGTCATGTGAGTTCCAAATACACCCCAGACTTAAACAATTTTCCTCTGTTTTGGTAAATAAAACAGAATCTGCCAAATTCAGTCACAACTTGGCTTGACCCCCAGGCACCGTACATGTCTTATTGAGGCAGACACAGCCTCGTCTTCCATCCCATTCCTGTGCCTGGCCCACTCGGGTGCACACAGCAATCCTTAACAAATGTTGGCTGAGTTAAATCAGCCTCTGCGCTGGTGTCTTCCCGCCACGGGGCAGGGCATTTTGGATCCTCCTGGCGGTGACTCCTTTATCCCTGTGGTGTTGGTGACAGCACGCCCAGGAGCACTTATTCATTCCACAAACGCTTATTAAATGGGCATAACATGTCGGGCTTGTGCTGGGCACTGGAGGGCCACCCACAACAAGTAAGACAGAGTCCCTGCCCTCCAGAAGCCTAGAGCTCCTGAGACACCTGAAAACAGACACTGCAGTTAATAAAACTCAAAGGGAGGGAGAAGCACTGAAGGTGAGTGAGAAACGTAGAAAGACATTCGAGTTTACAGCCTGGGCAACTGGCCTTTGCTACCATTTTTTAAAGGAGAGACTAACTTTGCACTGGTGGTGGTGAAGATGCAGGATGAATTTGATTGGGACCCACATGGGTCGATGCTCAGGACTTAGTGAGAGATTTGTGTGAAGGCGAAAGGGCAGGAGCAGAGAACGATGGCCTGGGGAGGCGGCATGTCCAAAACTTTGGGCTTGAGGACCAATTTTCCTCAAAGTGTGGCCAGTGCCCCCCTGCACCCCAATCTCTAGGGATGCTGTAAAATGCAGACCCTCAGGCACGTCATGCCTCCTGGATCGAATTTTCTGGTGGTCGGGTCTCAGGACTCTATGTTTATTTTAACACGACTGCCAGGGGACACTGAGTTCTGAGCCCTGCGTGAGGCTAGAGGCCGTGGCCCGCCCGCAGTGGTCTTCTCCGTGGCCTTGCACGCTGGGTGAGCAGGGGCCCGAGTGTGCCACGCTGAGGAGCACAACTCCACGCCTCACCTCCGCATCTTCTGAGCCCTCCCTCAGCCTTGCCTTGGAAAAGAGGGCACAACAATTCTTCTCATAATGAAGTCATCTCGTTCCTTGGTTTTTCCCATTTTATAATCTTGTTTGAGGTTTTGGGTTAAAATATATTTTTTAAATAATCTTTTTAAATGTTTTATGACTACAGAAATAAAGCACACTCATATTTTAAAAATTTATGTATGTGGGAGACAAAAAAAAGGGGGGATCATATTTCCATTGCCAAAGACAACCACTATGACATTGTGATGTATTTCCTTCTGGTCTTTTCCATGCATATTTAGTTATCATAATCTTATTTGATCCTCACCTTTATTCTGGTTCTGTCATCAGTCATTATTTTAGCCATTTCCCCATGTTAAACTCTTAATACCCCATTTTCATGAACTGCAAATACTGGTAATCAGAGAAACGCAACTTACTAAAAGATGGTACCGCATTTTCATCTATCAAATAAGTAAACTTATTTTTTTAAAGTTTTCATTGAGAATATCAGATGCTGCTGAAGATGTGAGAAAATTGATGCTCTCATACATGGCTTATGGGAATATGCAATTTGACGAAACTTAAAGACCCTCAAATGTGATTCTACCTTTTGCCCCAGTAATTCCACTGGGCAGAATGTAATATTAAGTAAGGAACAAACCACACACAAAGATGCAAATAATAGTACGTCCCTGCCTTTTGGGTTGTTGTGAGTGTTAAGTAAGTTAATTCCTGTAAGTACTAGAACCATCCTGGCACAGAGTTTGGCTGTGTTTAGCTATTTGCACAGCAAAAAAATTATATTTGAGTAGCAAAAAGATAATTAGGGAACCACCCATAAGTCCAATGTTTGGAATGGGAAGAAAATGATAATCCAGCGACCTGACTGCATTTTATGCAGCCGTTAAAAATGATGTCTCTGAAGAGTTTCATTTTTTTTCACCTGTACAGTACTCTGTGTACCCCCTCTACTCACAGGATGAATCAAGGGCCTGCTTGGAAAAACACTCCCAGCTGCCCATTTGGAGATGCTCCGTTCACCTGCTCCTGGCTGGGGTGGCAGGCTGAGTGTCCGAATGGCCAGGCTCGCATCCGGCACCTGTCCCAGCCCTGCCGTCACCCTGCAGACTTACTCAGCGCCCGAGCTCTGCGGCTGCCCCACCTGCACCTGTTCCTCAGTGGGATGTCTGTGATTGGGAACATTCTCCTTCCTTACACAGTGAACGCGTCCACCCACGCCACCCGGACACGTGACGGAACCACATTTCCTGCAAATCCATTGACAAATTTTCCCAAAAACATCTGCAAAGACTCATGTCTCTTTAACAGTCACTTTTCATCTCTTTCCATTATCCCCATGGGTCTTTGCATCCACCTTGTTGTTTCTGACATTTTTTGAGGTAAAGCTGAAAATGTTTTTGGGAAGTTGAGAGCTATTTTAAGGACACCCAGGCAAAACTGTACAGATAAGCTAAAAGACTTCCCAGGAAAATCAGATCCTCGATGGCTCTCAGTCCCAGCCATCTGGGGCAGGGACTTCTCTGGAATTCTGGTTCCCAAACAAGTTGGGGGAGACTCTCGTTTGACTGCAGTGTGACAGAAAATTCCAGCTGGTGTCCTTATCCCAGTGGTAATGTAATCCAGCGCCTGGGTAGCACTGGACATGGAATGGGGACCTACACTCCTGGAGCCCTCTGTCCCCGGCCGCGCCTCCGTCCCCAGCGCACTGCCCCGCGGAGCCAGGTGTCAGCGGGAGCGCACACCCACCGCCTCGTCGAAGCCCATGTAGAGAAACTGCTGGTACCACTGCTGCACCTCCGGCCGGCTCCGGTCCCACAGCTGCCGCCGCTGGCGCTTCAGGCTGCGCAAGAATTCTTTGGCTTTGCTCTCATCCACAGCCACTGGAGTCTTGGTTGGAGCAGGTGCTGAAATGATGAATTCCCCACCCAAAGTACAAAGAATGATTTCGTTTCCTCCTGGGGTGAATCATTATTAGATATCCCACTCCCCCAGTCGCCCCATGCATAGGATGGTTTTGACTCTCAAGGTCATCCTTGCATGGCCTGTGATCATCAGTCTCCACGCTCCCTGTCAGGAAGCTCTCCTGTTTGGTTAGAGCCACGTAAAGGGGCCTGGGCTCACCTTCAACTTCTAGGGTGCAGGGTAGAGACGAGGCTCAGCTCAACCTCTGCAGCCATGCCACATGCCCAGACGCCAGGCCTCGTGCAGGCGCTAGGGGCTTGGGCTCTGCGTTCAGCAAACAACGGGATGTCTAGTGCCACGCTGGTGTGTATTCACTATATATGCAAACCAGAGAGCGCTGTGCTTGCTTTGCAAACTAGGAAGACAAAGGAACTGGAATGACCAGCCTGAGTGGGCTGAGACCAGGCCCAGCCTAGCACTCTGGCCAGTTCCCACATCAGGTTGCTGGAACACACAGTGCCACCGTGGGCCACCACCTCTGGGCCTCACCGTCTGCTCACGGGAGATATGACTGAGTCTTGACCGGTCCTACCCTTGCTTTAGCACGGCTCCCTCGGACGTGGCCCCCACTGTTTAAAAGGCACTACCTTTGCAGGATGTGCTCAGAGAAGCGGTTGTGCCACTGCGTTTGGCCCTGGTGTCTGGCTTTGAGCCTCTGCCCCTCATCTGTAACACTGGACTGACAGACCCTGGCTCAGTGCCATTAGGGAGGCTGCATGGGATAATGGAAGGAAAGTGCCTGTGTGTGCGCTGGTCGCATGGGTAAATATCACCGCATTTGTTTTTTCACTTTTGATCATGCGTATTTCCCTCAGGGCCTGTTAGCACTGTTTTGTACACAGTAGGTACTCAATATGTGTTTCTTGGCCTGACTTGAGCAAAAGCTGAGGACGTATACCCAGGAGTTGAGATCTTCTCGGCGGTTTGCTCTCTGCCCTCACCTCTGACAGGTTGGCCCCGAGAAGGCTTCCGTCGCCCCTGGTGGCCCTGAGGCACGTCAGGGCTCAGGGATGGACCAGGCCAGGCGTGCTGGAAAGGTGCTGGGAGCTCCCCCGGGAGCCCCATTCCCCTCGAGGTGCTCTGGGTGCTCAGCGGCTGTGGGGGATTTCTGAGGGCCAACTGGGAGGTGTGCGAGCAAGCGCCAGAGGGCGCATGTCGGGGAGCAGACTTGAGGCTTCTGGAACCCCGCCAACAAGGGGCAAGAACAAGTGGTTAAAGGTTCACATCAGAAACGTGGCCACAATTCCTCGTAAGGGATAGGTAACTTCTTAATTTTCCAGGTGAAGAGAATGTTCCCAGAGGGAAAGTGGCATTCACAAGACCACACAATTGGTGCCCCGGTCCGACTGCAGTGGGCCCAGAACTCACACCGTGTGGCTCCCACACTGTTCCCTTTCTATGACGTTTTGCTGCTGTCCACCACGCTATCTTAGGACTATTTTTCACAACAGGTGTCAGTAACAAAAAGGTTGTTCTGTGTAACCTCCCCTCAGTAGTTAACTGGGTATAGAGCACCCCAGCAATACTGTGTGCACCCCACCAAGTGAAGTCTGTGCCCTAAAGGATGTGCTCTCAGTGTAGACCCATGCTCCAAAGGGCACTGCCTGCTGAACGACTCAGCGTTCAATTCACACTGTGGCACTGTTCTGTTATGTCTGAGTCCACACTGGCAGCGTTCAGAAAAACAACCTTCAGATATTTACTGGCGATAATATTTATCTCATAAAATAGCACACCGCATACCCACAGAATAAGCTCTTCAGATCTGCTACCTTTTAAGGAGTAAATACTTCTGATTTCCCAAATGCAAGCCTCCAGTGAGCAGAGTCAACACTGCCATTTCATTCAACCCAGTTACGAATGCAACCCTTATCCAGTTGGGGTTTATTTACCTTCCCGTTTTTGAAGCATCAGCTTGAGTTTATTTCCACTTATGCCACCTAAAGGAATGAAAACAGAAATCTGTTTCAGAGTTGCACTGTGCCCGTTACTTTCTCAAATGCAAAAATCAGAGTTGGAAAGGCTCCCTGAATGCCCACATCTTGATTTGGCAGCTTGGTAGTATTTCAGGGTTTAATGCTTTGCATTCTCTGCTGTGCAGCAAAAAGAATTCAGGCTGTCCCTGGCCAAAAATGGTGACAATGACCACGGCTGACCAAGGACAATACCATTTGAGCTATTCTCTAGGAAAAGTGACATAGTTCTTTCAGCCCTTGTGTGTGAGGGTCCACCATCTGCCATCAGCACCTTCCTGCAGATTGTCACTTTTCACGGTATAGCGGATTGAAGAGTGCCCCCTCAAAATTCACATCCACCGGAAACTCTGAATGGGAACATAGCTGGAAATAGGGTCTCTACAGACACAACTAGTTAAGGATCTCGAGGTAATAATCATACTGGATTTAGGGTGGGCTCTAAATCCAGTGATTGGTGTCCATATTAGAAGAGGAGAGGATGCAGAGAAGGCAGCCACGTGAGCACAGAGGCAGGCAGAAATGAGAGCTATGCTGCCACAGCCAAGGAACATACCTCTAAAACGTGAGCCCAGCCCAGTTTTATAGCTTGCTCCGATCACCTTACAAGCAGGCATTATTAGTACCATTTGCTGTTATTTTTATTCAGGTCTAAAAGTGTTTCTAATCAGCCCCATTGTTTTAATAGAAAATAACATGACTGGCCTGAAAGGACACGCCTCTGCCTGGTGAGCTGGTCTGAGGACCCATCGAAGCCTCCGATGCTTAAGTACCACACGTGGGCTTGTCCCTGAAGGGAGAACCAAGCCCCCGGGAAAAAGCCCAGCCTCAGAACTAGTGAGCAGAGCATCCTCAGGTGTAAGGAGCCGGAGGCTGGCCCCAGGATGGAGATGCTCACGTGGTGGTGGTGCCCACCTTCCCGGGCAGAGCCTTAACCTCGCCATCCACTGACAGGCCCAAGGCCTGTGTCTACATCTGCAAAGATAGTTTTCTGGGAATAGGGGCCATGGCTTTTGGCAGACTTTCAAAAGTGTCTGGGACCCAAATAAGACTAAAAACCCCTGCTTAAAGAATTTACTACGCGGTTGGAGAAAAAAACCCACATTCATAGGTGAAGGTCACAAATTGGTTGCCCACAGCTGAACTTTACCTGCAAGTGCATTTTATCAGTATGCCCAATTCATGAGTTTGAATGCCTCTGGGCCAAGCCACTCAGCACACCCCATGGTGCACAAACAGCCACTTTACCTAGTGGCCCCCTATAGGCATTTGAATTGGAGTGCAACTGCCTTTAGAACAGGTGTGCCAGCCAGGGAACTTGGTTTGAGAAGAATCGCTAGGGACCGCCCTGAAGGACGGGGGTGGGGGGGTGGGGGTGGGGGGTGGGGGGCTGGGGGTGGGCACAAGCAGTGCTGCTCTCCCGTCCTCCACAGGAGGGCCGGGCGTCTGCAGGAGAGTGGGCTACAGCATTAGCACAGCGCAGCGGCCTTTGGGAGAGTGAGCAGTTCTCGCTGTCTATGCTCATGTAGGGCTACAGCGATGCGGCTGTTTAGAAAACAATTGCAATTTTAGGCTGCATTAATAAAAGGCTAGCATCTTGCAGAAAGAAATTAATTGTCTCGTCCCTGTCTGTCATTCCTGTGATCAGACCACCCCTCTACTATTTGGTGCAGACCACATCTCGCTTTCGGAAGGTCACAGAAAACTGGAGTTGTGGTCAGAGAAAAAGTCCAGGGAGCAAAGGGCCCAAATATGTGTCATATGAGAAAAAATTAAGGGAATTTAGACGTTTAATCTAGAGAAACGAAGCTTCTGGGAGGAGAGCTATGGTTCTAAGGGGCCACTGGGCCATAGATCAGGGTTTCCAACACCTGGGCCACCACCCAAAGATGGAATAAGTCGCTCCAAGGGGTTCCACATCAACAGCTGCTGGAGGCAGCTGAGCCAGAGTCAGCAGAGGTAAGCTCCTGATGAGGCTGCAGTGGAGGGGAGTATTAATTAGATGGGGGTGGGGGGCTACTCTTGAAGGCTATACTTCCGTTCCAACCTCAAGAGTCAGTGAGGAAATCTACGACGTTTGCCAAAGCGGAAGGATACGCGGAAGGATACTTTCCTTGGCACTAACATTAGCATTCGTTAATGTCTTCACATTTGTCGATCTCCAATAACTCACAGGGTCCCACTTACGGAATTAAGTATTGTTCCTCCATCTGTGTGCCTTCTGAAAACCACTTAATAATTAATAAGTGAAACGTGGCCTGATGTTGAAATAGACATCGAGTTTAGGCATTTGCGATGAAGCTGCAATTTCTTGTAGCAAATCTATGTCACTGCGACTCCAGAAAGGAAAACCTCGCCAAACTCAGCTATACAACTGAAAAGTATGGACAAGTCCTCAATTATGAATTATTAATGTTGCCACTGTGCCAACTACTACACATTGAACTATAAATGTTAATACACATAATCAGACACCAGGCTAAATTTGTTTGAAGAAAGGAATAAAGGACAAATGAATAGCTGAGATTTTTTCCTGTAATATGGATTTTTTGACCCCAACATCATCAGTCACTATTTCTGAGCTGCAATAATAGGCACTCCTGAATTTATCAAATCTAGTTACCTGACATTAGATCTCCCAGCAGACTCAGAATTGCAGGAGGCCCCTTTGAAGGTGCTAACTAGTAATAAATTGATCAAGAGGGGGCAATGATCATTTTCTCCATTAAATGTGTTTGAGTGCCATAAAGAACCACCTTTGGGACTTTCTATAGACATAAAGATTTTTTTTTACATCATAAGGACTTTCACATTCCAGCTCAATGATAATAATATTTTAACTGACTCTTATCCCCACATTCTTGGTATGAACGAAATAAAATACAAGTCGTCTACTTTAAAGGAACGGCTTATAGCCAATGCTCACTTGCTTTGTTCGGATGTGCTTCTTAGAATGGGAGGAACGAAGGGGAGAGGCAGATAAATCGTTTAAGGGGAAAGTATTCATCAGCTGCCCCTGTGGTGGTAATTTAGGACAACAGTAATCCTCCTCAGGGACCAGGTCCCCTGCTGTTCTGGCACCGGGCTCCAACCCCAGGGCTCCCGCTGCAGCCTCCCCCCTACCCTCCACAGCTAGGTCGTCCAACCTGTTTGAATAAGCAGAATACAGATGCTGAGGCGGCGAGGGAGTCCTCCCTCTGCGTTAGACAGCGCCCAGCTGGGCTCTGTCCACCTTTGTAGTAGGCAGAGCACCGTCTCAGGGACTTGGGCAAGTGACCTCGTGCCTTCCGACCCCAGAGCTCTGAGCAGCGGATCTGGGGTCCCCACACCTGCCTCTCAGAGCTGGGAGCCTCAGAGGGCTCATGTGTGCAGCAGGCCGCGAGGGAACCAGCAAGGACCGAGCAAGCAGGAGGCAGCCAGGACAAAACAAAACAGCTCCTTCAGATGGCCCTTCTCAGGGCGGGTCCGCCGAATGTCGGGGTTCAGCTGTCTGTACACTCACCAAACCGCTTCATTTGGGGCGGGTGTGTGAACGCGCACATTTTATAGGGAACAAACCCGGGATTGCCAATGGACTCACTGAGGGCTCCACGAAGTAGAGGAGGCTGAGCGGTTCTCCTTTAAGAGTGTTCCCCCACCTGGGATGTGAGGCCTGCTCCAGCTTTGCAGACCTGGAACTTGACCCAGCTGGGAAGCGCCTGGAAGAGCAGCGCCCGAAGGGAATCTCGGCGATGCCGCCTTTTGGCTCCCTCAGTCCCGGAGGGCGCCGCCGCGTAAAGCTCCCAGTAGCCCAGGGCCCCTTCCGTTGGTCCAGGAACACTTCTCCCCCCCCTGCGGACCTTCAGCCCTCATTCTTTCCCTGGGTTATCACGCACCTCTAAGACCCTGCCCTTGACCCGGGTACTCTGCCTGCCCAAGCGCGCTACTGCCCGCTCGTGCAAGTGCAAAATCCAAGACCCCTATCACCCCTTGGCCCTTGCCCGGGCTCAGGATGAGTCCCTACGTCCCCACCCTGTGACCGATCTCCCTCCCCAGCCCCCTGGCATCTCCCCACTTACCTGGGCCCAGGCACAGCAGCAGGAGCAGCGCCAGCGCGGTCATGGCCAGGACGGCGGGCCGCGCGGAGGAGGAGGCCATGGCTGCACCCAGCGGGCAGGAGGGAAACGCGCGCACCGTGAGCCGCTGCGCAGGAGGACTAGGCGCGGGAGAGAGGGGCCTGCGGGAGGGAGCTCCCAGCATCCCTGCCTGGGCGGGACCCGCCGGGCGGGCGCCGAGCCAACGGGCCGCGGGCCAAGGGGCCGCGCTGAGCGGGGCTCCGAACTTCCAAAGCCAGGGATGCTCGCGCTGCTGGGGCCACCGAGGACCGCCGGGGGCGGGGCGCAGGGTGACCGGCGGGGACAAGCGGGGTTCTGGCCGTCCCGAGGGGCTGGAGGCACCAGGAGAGAAAAGGCCTTCCGGCCCCGGGAAGAGATGGGGATGGACCGCCCGGTGCCAGATCGGGTCTCGCCGCCTCTCCCCCGCCCCGCTCCCCGCTGGCCCACTGCCCCGCTGTTCTCAATCCTCCCCTTCCTCCGCAGCGCGCCACTCCTGGCGCAGGGCCTTGCTCCTGCCTTGGGTTATAACGTGGCCTCTGGAATTTCCTTGCTTCCAAGGCTGAGCTTAAAGATGCCCTTGGCAGCTCTGTGTTTTGTGGTATTTTGAAAGACTCCACAGTCTGGGTTCAGAGCTGTAGTCCAGGAAAACCTCTCACCCCAAACTACTCCAACAGGAAAGCCTTTCATGTCAGGGGTCCGTGAGCTCCGTAAGTGTTCGCGGAACAAACGCGTCGCAGGCTGCGCTATGTTATCCGCGCCCGCTTCAGCGACACTAAAGTGAGGCCCAGTGAGAACGCGCAGGTCCCATCCCAGTACCAGGCCTATTCAAGTTAGAGGACTCATGAAGGGCCGTGTGGTATGGTGAAGGAAAATTGAGGCGGGCTTGTCCCAACTGACCTTGAGCCGGTCACCTGATTCATCTCTCCCAGTGGTCTAGGACAGGGCGGAGCGATTGAAGTTGCCTGTAGGGACCCTTCCTTGTCCGATCTGCTCTGAACTCAGCTGATTACCTTTTCTTCCTCTGATCTCTCACTTTTTATACCTTCCAGGGGTAAATGCTTAGCGTCTGACCGTATAATTAGTTCCCCGAGTAAATGTAGTTGGATTTCTCCGGCAGACAATGGAACAAGTATGTTTCTACTTAGCAAGCAAAGGCAGACGATGGCAGCTAAAGAAACGATGTGACGTGAATCTGAGAGAGTCGCGAGGACTCCAGCTGCACAGGGTCCCAGGAGACACAGAGAGGCTGAAACACGAGGTTACACATCAGTGGTTGCGGGGAAATGATTAGGGACCTTGAGGAAACTGTGGAATAGGGAGCAGGATGGAAAAAAGCAACTAAGAAAAGCGATGTATTTACTTTTGCCCAAGGATGAGAAATTTACTATTTGGAAGAAAACCAAAGCACGTAGAAAACCAGTGTTCTGTTTGGATGGGTTAGAACACAGCCTGAAGATCTTCACGGTAATCTCTCCTTTATTCTTGCGGATGGTCCCCTCCCTCCGCATCTCCAACAGTGCTTGCTTTTAATGTGCGCTTACATTCCCTCTGCTCACTCAGGTCTGGTCGGAGAGAGGCTGCGGGAGCCCCTCCCTGGCTCATTTCCTTCTCTTTCCTTTGGAAGGAGGCCGACATTTCACGCCCTCCCACCCAGCCCTCCCCTTTGCAGCTGAAAAGGCAGAGTGGCGATTCTACTTTGTTAATTCAAAGATCCCAAGGGGAAAAATGTCTGCTTTAATCAGCTCATACAGCTGTAGGATTTGAAAACAAAGTAAATATTGAATCCTAATTTTCTATGAGCCTCTATTTTTTTAAAATCCTGATTACTGTTTTGACGTAGAATTGGTAAGACAAATCAAGTGTCCTACAGAAAATTGTTTTAAAATAATCGCCAATACGGTGAGAAAACATTTCCTGAGGATTCGGCCCTGCTTCCTGTCCCCAGGGAAGGGTCGGAGGTGAGCTCACTCACCTGCCGCCTCCGCACTGCTCTGTCCACACCGGGTCGGGGAGCAGCAGCACCCTCCACAGGAGGGACAGCGAGGAGAAGACGGAGAAGATGAGAAGACGTGGCCGGAAGAGTGTCCTGAGGGCGAGTCTTCTCTTTGAAGCGAAGTCTGCACTTTCTAACCAAGAAGATGGAAGTGGCCGCCGTCTGCTGAAAGGACCGGTCTGGTAGCTGCACAGCTTCGATGTTCGCTGGAATGTTTACCCGCTTTACAAACAAGAGTGGTTTCAGGAGATTTACAGTTCCCAGATGCGTGGCACATCACACAATGTAAATAATGATGGAATGCGCCATCTCCGCCATTAATAGAGATGGCCTCTTCACGTAAAATTTTTATTAAGATATAACATCATACAGAAAAGTGCGGAGATCCAATATGCAACATAATGATGAAGAAACCACATTAGCATCACTCCAGGGGCCCTGTCCCTCCCTGCCATGTGTCATGGAACATAATAGTTTAGTTTGAAGAAAGCTTCTTTTAAAAACATTTCATTTGTCCTTGATTTTCATTTTCTTAAAAAGAAAAAAACCCTCACAACATAAAGACTTATGGTTACCAATAGGAACACTGATTAATAAAAAGAAGTGTTAAAAGCGTAAGATTCATGACCATGTCAATCCAGTTCAGTTCAGTTCAATTCTGTATCAATATCTGTTTCTCAAAATGCTCACTGGATATTCTCTCCTGGACAGTATTGAAATGCCGTCGGCTTGGGGGTCCTGTCTGCCTCACGTCTTGTGAGTCATACTTTCTCAGCACTAACAGACCGGCACAGACAGGCTCATCCACCCGTCTCGCTTTCATCCACTGCCCGCCATGCCGAGTCTAGGCTTACTCAGATTTTTACTCAGCAGGGATTATTTAAAAATTATTTTATTGAGGTCACATTGGTTTATAACGTTGTGTAATTTCAGGGGTACGTCATTATATTTCAGCTGCTGTATAGACTGCATCATGTTTACCACCAGCAGTCTAGTTTTTCGTGTTTTTTTCTTTATGCTGAGGAAGATTAGCTCTGAGCTAACATCTGTACCAATCTTCCTCTACTTTATATGTGGGTCACTGCCACAGCATGGCTGATGAGTGGTGTAGGTCTGTGCCTGGGATCCAAACCCGTGAACCCAGGCCACCAAAGCAGAGCGTGCCAAAACTAACCACTATGCCATGGGGCCAGCCCCACCAGTACTCTGGTTTTTATCCATCACCATACATATGTGCCCCTTTACCCTTTGCCTGCCCCCCACCTCCTTCCCCTCTGGTGACCACTAATCTGTTCTCTTTATTCATGTGTTTGTCTTCCACATTTGAGAGAAATCATATGCTGTTTGTCTTTCTCTGAGTTATTTCACTTAACATAACGCTCTCAAAGTCCATCCACGTTGTCACAAATGGCACAATTTTGTCTTTTTTATGGCTGAGTAGTGTTCCGTTATATATACATATGCACCACATGTTCTTTATCCAGTCATTAGTCAATGGGCACTTGGGTCGCATCCAAGTCTTGGCTGTTGTGAATTATGCTGCAATGAACATAGGGGTGCATGTATCTTTTTGAATTAGTGTTGTCACGTTCTTTGGATAAATACCCACAAGTGGAATAGCTGGATCGTATGGTATTTCTATTTTTAATTTTCCTAGAAATCTCCATACTGTTTTCCATAGTGTCTTTCTCTCCACCCAAACATGGAAGGGTCCCATTGTGGAGGAGGCCGGGGAGGAAAGGCTGCTTTGATCAGGCCCCCATGGGCCTGCCACTTCTTTCAGTAAGAGGTTTGAAGGTGTGATGCAAGCCCATGTTCCCACAAGGCAGTAACCAATGAGTGGGAGGTGGCAAGGGCCACTCACTCTGCCTTCACAGGGGCTGCTAAACTCAGATGCTCCAGTTGCAGGCACTGTCAGTCCTTGGTGTCGAAGTTCCTTTCCATTTGTTCAACAGTGTTTCCTTATAAAACACTAACGACACATGAGGTGCTGTGAAAGTCCTGTTTACCGAAATCCATCATCCCCTCAAGTACATGGCTGTTCTTTCTCCCTCTGCCAAAGCTGGTCACACTCTTTATTCCAGAGTTTCTTAAACTTAGTCTAAAAATCTTGAAGTGCTTGGGAATGCGCATTCCTGGGCCACACTCCCTGGAATTCTGATCTAGTCTGATTCTGATTGTGTGGGGCCCAGGAGTCTGCATTTTTAAACAAAGAGGTTTCTAGGAGATGCTGAGCTGATTGCACCCCGAGACCACCAGCGCCCTCAGCTCTCTAACAAACTCGCCGGCTTCCCTTGGCCTCCGCCTGGCCTTGCTCACCCAGCAGTGTACATTTGCTCCCCGTTTACCGTGGCAGCCTAGGGACTTTGCCTCTGTGATGTGGCACAGTAACTCAGAACGCAGACTGCAGCTTCCAGTTCTCTCTGTGTTACGTGCTAGCGTGTGAGTCAGGCACGTGTCCTGCCCAGGCCCGGTCTGTGAAATGGAGGTGATATTATCCAGCAAGTTGAGATAAGAACCCCAGGATGTACAGAGCCAGTGATGCAGTAAGCACCCAGCAAATGTTAGGAGTGGTGATCGTTACCAAAACTCCCTCCGTTCACAGTGCTCTGACCTGTGTGATGCCTTCACGCGCCTTCCCCTCTCCTCACCCTCCAGCCAAGGTCAGGTGCTTGGGAACCTTCATTTTGGATGGGTCCCGGTCCACCCCACACGTCACTATCATACATTATCAGATGGACCTTCCCCAACAGCCCTGACATGGTGCCCCCACCTCAAAACACTGCAGATCCAAGTGGCCCTCTCTCTCACTTGTAGTTCACGGGAAATACAGCGCTAGAAGAGCATACGAAGTGACAGACCCGGCGAGGGTGCCCTGAGCCGAAGGCACAAATAGTGTGAGAAAGAGCGCAGGGCCTGACTCGGAACGGCCACTGATTCCAGAGGCCTTGGAGACACACCGACCGAATGCAGTGTTGGACCCAGCTCGACTCTGCCTCAGACGAACCAGGAATAAGACAACAAAGAGAGAAATCCGATCATGGACTGGTTCCACATTAAGATTGTTCTTTTTTTAGGAGTAAAAATAGTTTTACAGTTCCTTTTTTAAGGCCTCGTCTGTTAGAGCTGCATACGGGAATATTTATGGGTAAAATGATATGATGTTGGGGATTTGCCTTAAAATATTTCAGGAAAAAAGACTCGCACATATTGATAATTCTTTTGCTAGACACTGCTTGAGCCCCAACTGAGACGTGTCAGAGGATATAACACTCTTCTCTGTGTATATTTACAAATTTCCATAAGGAAAAGCTAAAAGAAATATAGAATCTTAGTGGCGCTCTATCAACCATAGAGTATATAACATACCCATGACCTTCAGACTCTCTAGCCTTTAAATATACATCCTGTAGGCTCCCCAATTCCCTCAAAACTCAATTCTTGAGTATCTCCTCTGCGCTTCACGGCTTTGCCCACCCCATTGCCCCTCGCTGGGGTGCCGGCGGGCGCTCCTCCTTGCTAACCAGACCCTGCTTTTCCAGGCGCCTATCAGCGCAGGGCTCCGCTGGGCGTCGTGCTGCTCACCTGACGTTCCGGAGCTCACTCAACAGTGCTGCGCTGGCAGACGTGCTGCGCTGAACAGCCCACAGGGGTCTGCTCAGTCGCCTTGGTGGGCTGAGCTGGGAAGGCGGGGCTCAGCTGAGACTGTCCCCTGGAGAGCCACATGTGGCCTCTTCAGCATGCGGGTCTCAGGGTGGGGCCTACAGGGGGGCTCAGGCTGCCAGAAAGGATTCCAAGAGCAGCTGTTCCAAAAGACAAGAGAGGAAGCTGCCAGTACCTTAAATCTTGCCCTAGAAACGGACACAAATCGATACCACTATATTCTGTTGACCGATGCAGTCCCAGAATCCACCACAGTCAGGGGGAAGGACAAAGAGCCCACTTCTCAATGGGAGGACGTCAAAGAGTTCGTGACCATCTCTAACCCACCACACGCACCTTTCAAGGCCAGGACCAGATACCACCTCCCCTGGAAGGCTTGTCCCGCTTCCCCCTTTGGGGTCAGGAGCGCACTTTGTTTTGAAATTCCGCCACCCTTATGTTCTCCCTGAAAGTGTCCCCATTTTGCCTTGAATTTTTGTGTACTTATTTCTCTTTTCTCCATTGGATTTTAAGCTTTTGAGCTCCTCAATTTGTTTGGTCTCTTTTTGTCATTACCCCGTAGAACTGAATACTCAGTAAATATTTGATGAATGAATAAACGTTGCCATCTAAAGTGAATCTGTGGTTACAGAGGGCTTGTATGAATGAGATTATTTTGCATGTCTTTCATTTCAACTTTGATAGTAGAAAGCTATACTGTTACACACGACGAATGACCAGCAGCAGCCCGGTCACAGGAATAAGGAAAGAACGCTGCACAGAGAGCCCTGCCAAATGCCAGCCAGAGAAATGCTCTGCACCTCAGGACTGGCAACCACTGGGTTAATTTCCATGCTCAGTGGTGGGTCCTCAAAGCTCCTTTCCTGTTTATTAAGCATATTTCCATGTTGGAATTTTAATAACGTTTGCCATTTCAAATAACTCACTGAAGCCAAAGGAGGAGAAAGCAGCAAAGTTTCCTTTCGGTCTAAAAAACATTGAGAGGCACAAAGTCTTTATTATGCACAGCTCTGGCTCCCTGACAGGCTCTGTGAGCAGGGCTCCCAAGAGGTGCCCAGGGCTCTGCAGACACGAGACCTTTAGTGCAGGTGCCCAGGATGCACAGATGTGACCCTTAGTGAAGATGCCCAGGATCCACAGACAGACGTGACCCTTAGTGCAGGTGCCCAGGATCCACAGACAGACGTGACCCTTAGTGCAGGTGCCCAGGATGCAGAGACAGATGTGACCCTTAGTGCAGGTGCCCAGGAAGCACAGACAGACGTGACCCTTAGTGCAGGTGCCCAGGATGCACAGACAGATGTGGCCCTTAGTGCAGGTGCCCAGGATCCACAGACAGACGTGACCTTTAGTGGGAGTTCCCAGGACTCTGCAGACACACGTGGCCCTTACTGGGGGTGGGCATAAATCTCCAGCTAGGGGGTCTGGAGACTGCCAGAGTTTTGAAGAAATGGTCTTTGTGTCCCTAAGGGACCTCTGGTAAAATAATGATGTTACTAAAACAGATTAAGACCTTGAATGAGAACAGTTTCTGGTCTTTTTATACCTTCAATTTGCAGCATTTTAACCAAAAAGATCCTGCAAGCTGAGAAGACCCCCAAGGACAGACCGGACTGTCACTGGTGCAGGACCACACAGCTCACCACGTTAGAACAACTCCGCACGCACATTTCCTGAATTCCTTTGCCCCATGGGGCAGAGGACCACGGTGGGTTCTTAACATAAAACCCAGACCAGCAGCTCAACCACCGGGACACAGAATATGGCTTTCTAGTGGGGACCTGCGGCTCCAGACCTGCGGCGATGGTACCAGCACCAGGGGCCCGCTGTCCGGGCAGTTCTGGGGTACACCAGGCCGCACTCTCATCAGCCAGGACCGGGCCAGGCCAAGCTACGGCCAGCACAGATGCGGCAGGGGAGGCCGAAGAAGCTAACGGGCGCCGGCGGCACTACTGATTTCTCGCTTTGTGAATGACTCGGACAGTCCTTCCGCTTTGACAGGCATCCGGGTCCCGAAGAGGCGGGGCAGCGGTCCTGCGGCCGCGTTGTTTCTCTGCATCTTGGAGCATCATTGACAGAGCCCGACGGAGTTCTATTTGGGGCCAAATAATTAGAGCGTCAGCAGTTAAGTACATCCGACACCCACACAATCCAGAGCCCCCCAGACTGTTGCTGTTAATTTCCTTTTATTAGTGTTGTTTCCTTTTGTTTACACTGTTCATTACCGAGCATGGAATTTTAAGCCAGCCATGTAAGTACAGAGTGAAATGTAGTTCCACCTAGCTCCCCTCCGCCCCCACGCCTGCATCAGAGACTCATGCCTTCCAAAACGCTCTGTTTAAATAAAAATATTTTGATAAGGTAACAACGGTAAAATAGCCTCGTTTCCTGCGGGGAAAACGGCGGCATCACCCACGAGCTTCCCACCGCCCCCCAGTGGTACGGGCGCCTGCTGGGTACAAAGGGCTGCCCAGGTCAGGGAAAGCCTGTCGCTTCACCTGCGCTTGACCATTTCCAGTCTGACCCTCCCGGGTCCTGCAGGGTGAGCAGGAACAGAACCTCCATTTTCCAGACCAAGAACCTGGGGTCAGAGGCTGTGCTTGCCACTCGGCGGTTTTCACCAGCTTCTGTTTTCCGACTCAGGCCGGTGCTCTCGCGTTCCTCTGGGCCTTCCGTCCTTGGCTCCCCAGAGACAAGACGCTGCTGGATGCCGTCCACGGGGAAGTTGCAGCCCGGCTCTGGTCCTCGGGGTGTCTCCGGCTGGCTGTGGAGGCCGCACAAAAGCACTGAGGTGAGAAGGCGCTGAAGACTGCAATTAGATTTCGCAGCTGTCAGAACAAGCGTGATGAAGGTTCATGTACCTGATTGATGGTTTGTAAAGTTCACGTACAGCTCATTATTTCAGGCTCGTGGTTCAGGGGTGAGGTCATTCCTCTGCCAAAACCCGGCTCTTCATCTTAAGATTCTGCTCAAGAATCTTGTCTCACTCAAGATATTTAGGTAGGAAATTTCCTTTCCCCTTTGGTGGTTACAATGCTGTTCCCATCATCTGGCGTATCAGTTTGAAACAGTTTGGTTTTTCCTGGGAGATTCCGTCTTCGCCCTGTGTTTTCTCCCCTGTGTGTGTGTGTTGCAGGGGGTGAGGATGGCGTGTATTTTTTGTATGGCATTTGTCAGACCCCCCGGGCTCCTGAGTCGTTGTTTACAGCCTCCCCAGTGACCGCTCCTGGAGAACTGCCTGGAGAGGTGGGAAGGGCTGGAGCAGCCCTGAGTGCTGGAGCGGCTCCAGGCCTGGCGGTGGAGGATTTGTCACAGAGGTTGCTCCCAGTGGCCCTTTCCATTAGTCGTGCTTCTACTTTGAGGGTCCTGAGACCAGGGGAGCTCCTGCCCCAGGCCGGGCAACAGCGGTCACAGGGCACAGCCACATGATGGCCACCTGTGACCACGGTGGGTGAGCACATTAGCCCTCTTTCCTCTGTCCAGACGGGCTCCGGGCACCGTCACTGGAAACACAGCCCCGGGACCCAAGCTGTAAAGGATTTATTGGAGCCCCGCTCCCTGTCGTGCAATCTGCTGAGTTACTTAACTAGAACTTTTTCCAACTTTTCCCAACTGTCACGAGCCTGAAAACGAGTCTAAAACATGTATATTCTCTATTGACTTTATTGAAGTGTAACTGAAGTACAATAAACTGCACGTATTTAAAATATGTAATTCAAAGAGTTTGACAAATACGTGCAGCTGTGTAACCAGCACACACTCATGACACAGTATTTCCACCCAAAGGCTCCCTCCTCCCCTTTGCAGTCTCCCCCCCACCCCCCCGCCCTCTGGACCCTGGCAACCACTGACCTGCTTTCTACCACTATAGCTTTGCCTTTTCTGGAATTTTATGTAAATGGAGTTATACAGTGCACATTCTTGCGCGTCCAGCTTCTTGCTCTTAGCATGAAGTTTTTTTATTCAGCCATGCTGTTGTGTGTTATCAGTAGTCTGTTCCTTTTTATTGATGAGTTTTATTGATGTTTGTATGGATATAACATAATATAGGTATGTATCTAGTCACCAGTTGGTGTGTATTTGTGTTGTTTCCATGTTTTGGCCATTACAAACACAGTTGCTGTGAACGTTTGCATACACATCTTTGTGTGGACGTGTTTTCGTTTCTCTTTGGTAAATCCCTGGTGGGCAATGGTGGGCCGTATGGCAGTGTGTTTTAGCTACATGTTGTCACCTCCACAGTGGTGATAAGGGTGTGTGAGGCCATCTGTTCATTCACCAAGTGTGAATGGTGTGTAGTGAATAGTGAAAAGTGTAGGGGCACAGGGAACACAAAAGCCAGGAAGTCCCTGCCTTCACGGGGTCCACAGCTCCACGGGGGCCATTTCCCAGGAAAGAGCTTCAACCCCTGGAAGGAAAGTGAGTGAGCTTAGTGGGCTCTGGTAAGTCCTGTCGCTAAGCCTGCTGAGAGCAGGAATCCCTCCACGCCTCTGCGGGAATCTTCTGATTTGGGGACTCACCACTCCAGGGAGAAGCCATTCCCGTCTTGGAATCGTTAGAAAGTTCTTCCCTGTTGTGCTGCTGCCCATTTTCTCTTATCTCTCAGGGCTTTCTTGGTCAGCCTCACCTCTCCCACAGCCCTTGAGCCTAAGAGACCCTTCTCAGCTCTCATTTGTGTCAGCCAGCTTCTCCTTTGCCATGTCCCAGTCTGGCTGATACCACTGAGGCCATATGAGGCTACCCTTTCAGGATGGCTTCCTCTCTTCCCCTTCTCTGTGGCGTTCCCAGCTTACCTCCTGGTATTTTCCTCTGAGGATTATTGGGCTTGGCCCCAGGAGGGTCCTGATTTCACTCCAGGTTTGTCGTCAGGCTGAACTGATACCCTGTTAATGGAGTGCCTGTGTCCCCTGGTGAGCGGCCGTCCCCACCCTCTATGACTGTTCCGTCACCAACCAGTAACCCTGTGCTTTAGTTGTTAATGACAGTTTATAGAGCCAACCCTTACTTCTTCACTACTGTCTACTTTACTGCATGCCTTGGACAGAGAGACAGGCATAACGTATTCTGTATTTCAAGGACTCACCATCTTCCTTGCCCCCCAACTACAAGCTTTCCACGCACCCCTGCTCCTGGCCCAGAGCAGCCACCGAAGGTTGCCTTTTGCCTTCCCTCTTTGTCTCCCCCCTTCCTCCACCTTCTCCTTCAGTATGACTGGCTCTAATATTAGCAATATTGATATAAACTCATAAACGAATACATCAGAGGAGAACACTTGCATTTCAGTCTTCTTGGTTTCGCTTTCTTTAGGAAAACAAAGAGCGGCACCATCCCCAGCAGAACACCGTGGGCAGGTGGAGGCGTTCCTTGGAGGTTCAAGAGTGGGGTGAGTGGGGGAAGCCCACAGACCCTGCCTCGCTGGCAGATGCTGCCCCTGCAGATGTTTGCTCTGTGGGGTGCCTTTCCCATACTCAGAGCTAAGCTACCAAGAGGCCGAAAAGCCAGCCCTCCCTCCCTCCGTCCCAGCACTGTCTTCAGGAGCGCGGCAAGTTTCTGAGCGTGTGCTTGCCCTTCAGCATCAGGATGGGCTCCGCTGACCTCTCTGCCCTTCACCAACTTGCCCATGAGACCCTGGGCCTGGCATTATGCTGGCTGGTCTCGCAGACGGCCACCATCGGGTCCTCTCCTTCCTGTATGCACATGCCATTCCTCCCCTTAAATCTGGGCCGGCATTGGGACTGTTGTGACCAGTAGCTTGGATCAAGAAGCTCTGGCAGGTCAAGTCCGGCCCCCTGCCTGTTTCTGTAAATAAAGTTTTGCTGGAACACAGCCAAGTTCCTTCACTTATCTACAGTACTATCTACAGCTCCTTTCATGCTACAGTGGCAAGGTTTGAGTAGTGACAGAGACGTCTGGCCCTCAAGGCTAAAATGCTTACTAGCCGGTCCATTACAGAAAAAGTCTGCCCACCCCTGTCACTAAGAACATAGTGGAGGTGATGTTTGGGGACCTCTCCGCCCAGGCCTTAAGAGAACCGGCGGTTTCCCTCTCTCCTCTCTTGGAAGCCAGCTGCTGTGGAAGAAGTCTGGCTGCCCTGCCGGGGGGCTCCTGTGGCTTGAGGCAGAGTGGGCGCTGCGGCCAGGGCAGGCACAATGGAGTGTGGCCCGGTGGCCGAGGCCGGGGGGCCCTAGCGCCCGCTTGCCGGAGTTGTGAGAAGTAACTGGGCGTCGTCATCGTTGGCACCACCGAGTCTGGATGGTTTGTTATGTGGCAGTCTAGCCCAAAGAGTACCCTTTTCTGATCTGAGCATCACCCCAGAGCTCAACGGTGCCTCAGCTCAGGGCCCGAGGGACACCCGTGAGGCAGAGTCCCACGGGCAGACACACAGAAGAGGAGCAGGGAAAAGAGGCAGGAGAAAGCTCAAGAAGACCTGTGGAGAAAAGAGGGAGTAATAAACCCAGGAGGAAAGAAAGCAGCAGAGGGAAAAGTGTTCGAGGAACGAATGAAGGACTGGGGCCTGCGCGGGTTGTGGGGGGCCACAGGGCGGGGGGGTGGACGTGCTGGGAGGACCTCCAGGTCTGACTCAGGGACGCGCAGACTCCACGGCTCAGTACGATGAGGTATGTCTCACACGTGTGAAACTGTACAGCACACACAACAGGCACGGGTCGTTTCCAGGACACGGTAAATTTTGGCATGAGTAACATCTTACCTCTGTAGCAATCTTGGTGTATTTTAAAGTTATTTTTTGTGACAACATGCAGTTTAATATAAAGCCGTGAGAACTCCAAACCAAAGGAATGCAATAAAATTCCAAGAGTCACACAGCAAGTCAACCACAAACTCATTCCGCCTCCTGCTGACGCCCAGCCCACTGGTCTCTCAGTGACCAGACCCCACAGAGATGCTAACAGGCCCCTCCTGTCTGAGGCGCTCTGGTCTCTCAGCGGAGTGAACTCCAGACCTTTACTCTATGGTGGTACTTCATTAAGAACATCTTTATTCCAGTGTTTAACCACTTGTTCACATTTCTACCATCGACACTGGGTCTGTTGCGGCTGTTTATTATCTCTTGCCCTCCATCTTGGTAGAACATTTTTTTCCAAAACTTTAATTTAGCAAGCACTTATAGAGTACCTGTGTGCAAGGCACTGCTCTCCCACACATCAGGGCATCCAAGATGAACAGGACACGCTCCCTGCCCTCAACAGACATGCTGTCTAATTTCATTATGCGTTTTGCCACTTCTTTGCTTTGGAAGGTGGTGGGAAACCACACAACCAAGACCACAAAACACTGTTTCTCTTTCCATGACTGGAGAAAGCTGTAGATGGGTTAGAACATTGCTTGCTGTTGTTTTGTTTTAAACCAATTAAATGATGACCATATCAGAATGATATTGGGTAGAAAACCATAGAAAGTCTTTGACGAACCAGATTTGGATTCACGGACCGGTCTAGGACAGATGCTCCTCTTGCCCGGGTGGTGAGGAGTGGTCTTAACCGCACAGCACTCTCCTACTGGTATCCCCTTTCTACCTGCTTCTAACAAGAATGCCCTTCCCCTGTTCCAAACATGTGTGTCCC